CCCAGCATTCCTCTCTGAACCCACGTTCCTAGCTTTGCAACTAGGATCATTCCCACTTTAAGTATGCAGCGTAGACAATGCCCAAGTCTCAGAGCCCCAAGTCCCTGCAACCCCCACCTCCCCCGAGACTCCTCGGTCCAGCGCAGGATTCTGTAGGCAGCTTCCAGCCCTGCTCAAGCTGAAAGTGGAGAGCAAGAGAAGCTTAGGGAACCTGGGAACTATAGGGAAACAGAGAAAAGTTGAAGCCAGAGGACCTGCATCCTGCTCCCATCACCTATGTCGGTGGCTCACAACGGCCTAAACTTCCAGCTTCCGGTGACCCGAAGCCTCTGGCCTCTACGGGCACCTGCACCCATGTGCATATACCCACGCAAACACACACATACACATAATTAAAAGTAACAAACCTTTCTAGAGGTAAAAACATTTAAAAACTCTAACAGAAGGCCTTGCTGCTCTGCAGCAGATTGTGCTCTGAAAAGGTGGACTTGTTTCGAAGTCAAGGTAAACTAGAGGCCTCAATATCCTGCTGTAGGTCATACATTTTTCTGAAAGTACAGATGAATTAGGCTTCCCATTATCCTGCAGTGGCATAGCTAATCAGTGGCTCCACTCGGTGGCTCAGAGAGTATGAGGTAAAGGAGGCTGAGCAATTGATTCGTAGGTACCAAATAAGCTCTGAGACTACAGGCATGACCTTCTGACACTGCCAGTCAGATGGCCACGGAGGGTCAGCCCTATGACCTGGCCTGTGGGAGAACTGCAGGAACTCAGCCTCACCCCAGAGCTTCTGAGGAGGAGTCTGAATCTTCTTATCTTTAAATGTGCATGTGCATGCTAAAGTTTGAAAAATGCAGTCCCAGAAACACACACATGTGCTCACGCGCACACACACACACACACACACACGCACGCACGCACGCACACGCGCGCGCGCACACACACACACACACACACACACACACACACACAAATGACTCCCCTCTCACTTCTGTCAAATCATCCAAATGCCTAATGATTCCTCGCCACAAGGGCAACCCTTGGCTTTGGCCTCTCTCCGAAATATTTGAAGGAATAAACTCTACATAATTTCCCACCCACAGGCCTCGCCATCACCCTGCACAGGTGGAGCCCAGCACACCTGAATTAAATCCTCCCTTGGTCATAACTGCTGATTAGAAAGCAGAAGCAACCGTAACAGCGTAACAGCGCAGGGGAGAAAAAGACGCGATGCGAATTACAACCGCTGCAGCCAGATGTGCCTCATCACTTACTCCCCACTTACCATGTGGGGAAATCACGATGAAGGACATCATTTAATGCGCAGCTGACCATTGTGTAAATGTTTATTTAATTGCATGATTGCTAATCCCAAACTCTCTACCATTGTCAAGACTGGTCACAACAACGGTCGAGACTCCCCGCAATTCTCCCTTCAAATCTCCAGGATAGGATGCAAATAGGTCCTGCTCAGAATGTAGGAAAGAGAGGGGTTTTTCTCCTCTTCAGTCCAGGCTGCAGTTTTAGTAAAAAGACAGTTCTCTTGGTGTTAATGACTGGGGAAGGAAGGGGCTTTCTGTGGGCACTGAACTTCACTTATCTTTGTAAGTCCAACTGGAGAGCAGCACTTTCTTTGAGAAGTGTTCTGAGTTGTCTTCCTCGTGACACTGCCATTGGACTGCTCCTGTGGCTTTCCAGAGGTAGGACCCATCTTTAGCTCAGGCTTTACAGACTGACCACATGGCCAAAAATGTCCCCTCTACCTCTTAGCAACTGTGTGACTCTGGCTACGGGGCTTCCTTCCATAACTGTTACACGCATAAATCAATACCAAAGAGCTGTTGTGAAGAGTATATGAGACAACATATATAAAACATTAGTGTCTGGCACTTATTAATCAATGTTAGCTATTATTAGCACTTGACAGAGTCTGGCTTCCATTAGAATTGGTTTCGTATGTCTCCCTTCCCCACTACATCATGTGCAAACTGTTTATACCCAAGGAACTGGCATAGGTACTTACAAATGGCAGACAAACAATATTTGCCAAATTGCTTTGAAGGTATGCCAGGAAGAGAAAAAGAGGGGTGCTGGGAACAAACAGTGTACATTATGATTTTACCCAGGGCCAGGCCTGGCGGTGTTTGCTTTTCTTTCATTACCAGAATACGCTGCCTCGGACAGCAAGATTTCTCTAAAGTGGGACTAGAGAGGCACTGTTTATCAAACCAGATGTTTTGTTCAGAGACAGCAAAGGTATGCTAGGCAATATCTAAAACTCTCCACTTTGGTCCCTGGCTGAGTGGGAATAGAGATTGAAGTTCATCCAGAGCTGTACTGGACAAACGGAGTGCCTTGGCATGAAGTCACATCATCAACTAAGACCATCAACCTAGAGGTGGGGGCACTGGTTTTTCAGAGCATCTAGCTCGAAAGATGTTTGTGGACTGTTTAAGAGTGGTATGCATCAATATGGGGGAAGCCCTACTACAACCTCAAAGATCCCTTGTCAACCCTTCGGACTCTCCAATGAACATCAACTACAACAATAATAGTTTCTTAGATACTGAACGAGTGCCCACTAAGGAGCTCAAGGTGCTTGTGGCTGACAAGAACCTTCTAGACTTATACAAAAGTCTGAGGAGCACCACCCTCTAGACAAAGCTAGCATCTTCTCTGACATGATATCAACTTCAAGGACTTCTCCTGGTGGCTTATGAGCACCAGGCTGATTTATAATAAGGACATCAGAGACCTGTTGTGACCTCATGTGGTGAATCTGCTAGGCGGGCCACGGGCCACGGGCTGTCTTGAAGCTCTAACTGAGTCAATACTCAGGCGCAGGGTTCTTCTTGGATGCCCCACCACCACCACGTCTTCTGAGGCTGCTATGTGAGCACCCCAGCTCCCTTCTGCCCTCTGCTCATGACTAAGGCCTCTCTCCCACCACTCTCGCTGCATGCACAACAAAGTGGCCATGACTTTTAAGGCTGAAAAAAAAGAAAGGTGCACTGTATATCATACACCCAAAATGAATACAGAAATTATCATTGCGGACTGGAAGGTGACACAGAGATAAGGAAAAGAGGCGAGTATGATGATTAAAGGTGAGGTATTTGTAGAAACATCCAAGGCAGGTCCTGATTTGAAGTGTGGAAGAGGCTTAAGGGGGAGAGCAATTCTCAAGAAAAATCTGGAAGCAACAGCAACAGCCTGTATTTACTGAGCACACAGTCTACATTAGGAACTGTGTAACTAGTTACTCCATCCTAACAACCCTCAGATGCAGGTATTATTCTCTTCATTTCACAGGTGAGAAGACTGAGGCTCACAGGAAAAAAAAAGTGATGACACTGGAATTCACACAGAGTTGGGTTGGGTCCAAGATAAAGAATAAAAGAGACCAGCCCCCTTCAAGATGGAGGAAAATGCCTTGCAGCGAGCTGAGGTGAAGAGAAGATCAGTTCCCTGGGGAACTGAAAGTAGCTTGGTGAGTGCTCCTTGGGGGTGGAGACACGTGTTCAGAAGAGAAACCAGAAGTAGAGGAGTTCTCCTCAGATCTAGACGGTTTGACAGCTAGACATTTGGTTCATGAGGTCTAGCCCTCCACACTTCCATCCTCCCTTTGGTAAAAGGCCATACATAGCAACGATGCCTGCCTCTCCCCCACAAAGAATGGCCATTTACAACAACTGAGATTGGTGATGTAAACCTGATTGCAAAATACAAATTCCATCACAGACTAGATTTCATCACTGAATCTTCCCAGTAATTCAGAGATTCACAAGCCTAGAACCCAGTGATCGGGAATCTGTGACACCAGAGAGCCTTCCGAGCAGAGGGCAGTGTGGAGGAGTAGACGGAGTAGACGTGCCCTGGGACCCTGCATCCGTGCTCACCACCTCCTAAGTGCAGAATGCTTGCCTGCATCTACAGTTGCCTCTTCCTAAGTACAGGATCCCAAGGTGTGCCCTCTTCGTTCCTCAGGATAAGGATAGCACTTACCTTATATGGATGGTATGAGGGATTGAAGCACGCATGGCAAAGGGGACACAGGTCCCAGCACTGAGCAAAGACTTAGGAAACCCACACAGATATCTTCTGCTTTAATTAGGAAGAAATCTGTTTGCTATCCTCCATTCCCTCTGCGTGCTATGTGATAAAAATTTGTGAGCATATTAGAAGGCAGAGATGAAGTGGGTTTGCGACCCTACATTCCCCCTTTGTTCCTGGCTCCCAAGGACTGGCAAGCAGCTGGCTCTCCGTCCTGGTAGAAAATGCCCAAAAGAGGCAAAAGGCAGAGACTGCACAGCATTTGTGCAAAACAGTCTGCCCTTGCAGTTTCCTAGACTAAATCTAATGTGGCCAGTCAGATATGACCTGCTGTTTTAAGAGGATCTCTTCCTTTTCCTCCCTCCAGCCCTCTCTCCCTCTCGGGACAAGAGCACTCCCCCACACAGCTCAAGACGCTCGCAGTCTTTTCACAACACGCACTCTAGGTCCTGTTGTGACAGTCTCTTGCCACATTAACTTGCCTGTTCAACTCCCTCCCGGCAGAGAAGGCAAGGCGCAGGAGCCTTTGCTAAAGTCCCGTAAGGAAAGAACACAGGAAATTCGAACAAAACAAATCTACACGCAGAACCCTGCATCTGCAAGCCAGGGACCCAACGGAGCCTAGATGACTCCAGACTGCAGATGAAGCAGCTGCCTCTTTAAATAGAAGAGGATTGAAAAACAGTCACTTGCTGCTTAAAAAAAAAAAAAAGAAAGAAAGAAACACAGATCTGCATACCAATTAATTATGAATATTCATCGACTCCAGCCTACTCAAGAGCCACCCCGACTGCTGCAGCCCAGAGTGCTGCTTCCCAAAGCTCTGCCTCGCTCAGGAGAGTGGGAAAGTTCATTCAGGCGCTTTGCCTTTGACTCTTTCAAGTACTCGCCCTGGATCTGGGCTTTTTTCCTCTGAAGAGTTTGGATCAAATCAGTTCTGATCTTACCCTTTGTATCTTCCATAAGGGGCAGCTTTTTGTTTTCTTCCTCTTTCCTCGTTTGTCTTGGGTGTTTTTGTTTTTGCTGCCTCTGCTTGCTGTGGTGCCTTTCTGTGAGAGAGGTACTCACGGATCAGAGATATAACAGACCCTAGGGCTTGTGGGAGGGGCTAAATTAGCCAGCCGGTTTCGGAAGGAACCTCAAACCCTGTGTCTTTTTCATTGACTAGAAATACAGATTGGTAGAGGAGAAGGGCAGCCCATTTCCCTAGTTACTCGAAAGCTTACTGGGATTGTAATGGGTTGTAATCTATTTTTCCTAGGCTTGAAGCAGTTTGTGTTCGAAGCTCACAGTCTCCTTCAGGCCCCTTTCCTTTTACATATACCCAGCACACTCTCTGTTACAAAAAAAAAATCCATTTTCCTCCAGTAATTTTTTTTTCTGAAAGGGGGAAAAGCCCCTGTGTTCTGCAATTATGATGCCAGCTAGCAAGAAAACCGTAGCCTTGCTATTCAACACGTGTGGAAGGCAAAGAGCAGATATTCCTGCCCCATGAAGCTGGTCACTCCCTATCCCATGACAAGCAATCCTTTCTTAGGCTCTTTGGAGAAGAACTCAAGAAATGGGGGCGGCTTCATGGGAAACCACATCATTGTCTGGAAAGTCGCACAGAGTAAACTGCTCACCGGGTACCTCTGCCACCTGAGAAGTGAAAATTGTCCACCTCTCCCCAGCTTTGACTTCCTACACCACTCCCAGACTTTGCAAGGTACCCAAATGCAGCCAATAATAAATGTTAACCTGTCAATGAGCTTGTTTTGAAATGAAAACAAGGGATGGCCCTCAGCCAGGAAGGTAAGTCCTTAAGTTCCAAAGCCACTTGGACACTTGTCCTTCAAAGGCTGCTGCAAACCTTAGTAAGCATCTGAGGTTTGAAGGAGACCTCGGGAATCCCATCAGTCCAAGATGACAGCAGGGAAACTAAGGCACCTGCTCCTGTTCACATGTCACAGAGCATGGAGTCCCCTCTCTTGTTTGTCATCATGCTCCCAACACCAGTTTCTCCCATAGGGCAGGTACTCGGTAAATACCCGGGGAGCGGCTGATTTGTGAATGAACAGCAACAAGGCTGGACAGCAGACATGGTCTTCTGAATCCTAGTTATTGTTTGTTTTTTTCTGCGTTTCCTTTATAGCAGAGAATTCGTGTCTGAAGCTAATTATACCGCAAGACATAGTTGTGCACAAAATCATTTCCTTTGTGACCACTGAAGATTGCTTTGAAGGCGATGCATTCTCTGCCACATTTTCCGTCGTATTAGTAAAAGGGCAGGGCTGACTTTGGCTTAGATGTCTTTTGCTCTGTACAGTGTGCTACCTGCCACACAGCATGTGCTCAGTGAATTCTGGATACTTTGATAAATCCAGAACTGCATAGCAGGACTTTCTTGTGTCTTTTTTTTTTTTTTTTTTTTTTTTTTTTTGGTTTTTACGAGACAGGGTTTCTCTGTATTGTTTTGGAGGCTGTCGGTCCAGCCTGGCCTCGAACTCACAGAGATCCACCTGCCTCTGCCTCCCGAGTGCTGGGATTAAAGGCGTGCGCCACCTCTGCCTGGCCCTTTCTGTGTCTTACTAAATGGTATATAACTATAGGATTTTTCCATTTAGAAGAACAATTAATTATACCAAATGAAAAACTTAATGAATGCTTTCTCTGGGGCCAGTTTAAACTACATTTCTAATGAACATTTGTTTGACATTTGTCCTATGAGAGTAACATTGTTTCAAAGTGACATAATGAAATATTTGCAAACATCAGCAATCTTTGTGACTTTGTGATTGCATGTGTGCTGCTACTACTTAGGAGGAAAATTTTTTAAAAATGCCTACAAAATAGTCTGTGTACTCCAGGATGGAAACTGAACTGATAAAGGCAGAGAGAGGCTTGATTAAGAGAAAGCCCAGAGTGAGCAAAGGGTCAGGAGCTCACCCAAACCTAACAGTGAACCCTCAATTGAGACACTGTGGCCCCAGTGCTCTATTTAAAACAAAATTAAAGCCAGGTAGGGGGTGGTGGCAGCACTCAGAAGGCAAAGGCAGGCGGATCTCTATGAGTTCAAGGCCAGCCTGGTCTACAGAGTGAGTTCCAGGACAGCCAGGGCTACACAAAAGATACCTATCCCAAAAAATCCAAAAATAAAGTAAATTAAAACTCATGTTCCACTCAGATGCTGTCAAGTAAAGGTTTCTTCAAAACCTGATTCCTTCTCTTTCAGTCTCTTTGACTTTGGGAGAAAAGGATGGGACTGGACAGAGGAGAGAGCTAACTCCTGATTCAGCTGGGAGAGGCAGCAGTATTCACCAAAAACGTGGGGTCCGGGACTGGTGAGACAGCTCAGAAGATAAAAGTGCTTGCTACCAGGCCTGACATCCTGAATTCAGTCCTCAGAATCATCCGTGGAAGGAGAGAACAGACTCTCACATGCTCTCCTGTAACCTCAACACATGCTCCCCACACACATACACGTACCCTTCTCCCACCCTTTTTGAATTAAGTCCACCTGAAATGAATACATAGTGATAGAAGTAGCCTTGGCACCCAGCTCATCATCCATAAGTCTCCTGACAGCAATTAATGATTCTGATGGTAGGATGCTCTGTGTAGCAATCGAATTGCTCAGCTCTTCTGTATCAGCAAAACATTATAGCTAAGCATGTGTTATCTCCCAGTCGGATGAGAGTAACTTACATGAGAGGTGGCAGGGATACAAGTGTCTGTTTAAAGGCCTGAAAATTGCTTTAAAATTCAATCTTATTTCTGGACAAAAAAAATAATTCATCGTTATAATTTGTTTGCTTTTTTTTTTTTTCAAAAGAAAGTAGAAAGTAGCCGGGCACACGCCTTTAATCCCAGCACTCGAGAAGCAGAGGCAGGCGGATCTCTGTGAGTTCGAGGCCAGCCTGGTCTACAGAGCCAGTTCCAGGATAGCCTCCAAAACAGTACAGAGAAACCCTGTCTCGAAACAAAAGAAAAAAAGAAAGTAGAAAGTAAGAAAGGCACTTGAGAAAGATGGGAGTTGCTAGAGCTAAATATACCAGTCTTTCTTTTACTGATTAAATATTTTTTAATCAAGTTCTTAGAAAAAAGTTTCATTTTTCCTATACCTTCAATCTTCAACTTGATGTCAGTTCCTCCCTTAGCATCTAAAGTAGTTAAATAATTTCTACTCTTAAAGATAAATTCGGGCACTTAATGAACAGAGAGAATTCAGTTTTGCGAGAGGACAATACTGAAATTGGTTGCTGAAGTGCAAGTGTACTTAACAAGACTTAACTAGTAGTCAAAGACGGTCAGTAGTGTAAACTTTATGCTATATGTCCTTTCCCACAATGTTGGTTCTTTTTATTGATTTGTTTGTTTAAAAATAAATATGCCATCCATCAGCCTGTGCCTCTTCTCTTTTTTCACAGACCGTGACTTTGCCTTCCTGAGTCACCACTGCTCCATTCTGATTCCTGCGAATGAACATTCCTAGAAAGAAGCTGCGTCTGCAAAGACTGCTTGGTCAATTAAAATTGCAGCCATGTGGCCTGCTGCGCTGCTACAGGTCCAGAGGCTACCTTATCTTGGGCTTTAGTTCACCTGCGTGTCACAGCTAACAACCTGTGGCAAATAGGTAAAAACCTTTGAAATCTATTAACTTAGCAGGTCATTAGCTTCCACCAACCCAAAAGCTAAGGATGCCATCAGATAGCATCTTGGGCTTACAGAAAAATATCCTCCATCTGCTTTTACCACCTCTCTGATGTAACCACCAATATATTTTAAACTTGTCTTGATTTATGGCTTTCTTTACTCTGTAAAACTATAAAACATCATAAAACCCCTCCCCACAGCCCACATTTTACTGGTGACCGAATATTATTGTTCTTCTATTCCTCGCCATTTCTCAAATCTGTCTCCTCTCCATTTCTGCAACAGTGCCCACTCTCATTTTTGCCTGGAAAACTGCAAGTCATTGTCCTGCTATCCCAAGTTGGGAACCAAAGAATTCCAAAGCCTTTTAAGATGTAAGTAAATGTAACTCACATCCAGTCATTCTGACCAACATGGATATCTGATCTCTGTGAGCATCCTTAAAACCATGGGTCTGAGAACCCAATCCAAATGGGTCAGGCAACATGAATGTAAGCCACAGTCTCGGCAGCTATTTCTGCTTCTGGAAAGGATCAGGAGAGCATAGGAAATCTGCCATTCACACTGCTCATAATCAGTCTTCATCAAATAACTATGGAAAGTGTACACCTGCCCCCAAATCTCCAAAGCTACAGAATGACATCAGCCAGGAAAGCAATCCCGATAGCTGTGTGCTTGCTGCGTGGTGCCCCTCCAGACACCCTCCCTGCTTCCAGCTGCTGTCTACACCAGGAGGTCGGTTCCTGAGCTCCTCTAACCTCTTGGATTACCTTAAATTAGCTATGCTTCTTGTGCAAGACATCTGCTTCTCCCAAACCCCTGACTTCTTTTAACTTTTCATCTAGGGCTTGGTAACTGCTCCTGTCCTTGTTCCTTTGAGCCTACAACTGGTTGTATCTAGACTGCTGCCATCAACCTCCCCTTCCATTCCAGCTTAATATATAGGCTCAGTGTGTGTGTGTGTGTGTGTGTGTGTGTGTGTGTGTGTGTGTTGAGGCAGGGTTTCTTTGTGTAACAACTCTGACTGTCCTGGAACTCACACTGCAGGCTGGCCTTGAACTCACAGAGATCTGCCTGCTTCTGCCTCCCAAGTGCTGGGACTAAAGGTGTGAGCCACCACTACCTGGCATTCTCCTCTATTTTTAAATAGTCCTTTTACATATAAACTCTCCTTGCCTTGCATCTTCTGTTTCACTTTAGGTGCTGGTTAATACAGTCTATACATCGTCTCACCCCTCTAAAACTCTGTTCATGTTAAACGTCATGTCCCAAGTAGGTGAAGCTGCTGTTCTTCCAATGGCCAATCCCCTCTATACAATAACAGTGATGCTTAATTAACTAAAGTTTGTAGAGTGAACTTTAAATACATGTTAACTCATTTATCATCCCAATAACCCAGCGATCTAAGTATTGTTAGGGTCCTCATTCTAAAGACCAGGAGCCAGAAGCTCAGAAAG